GGGGGTTGGGGGTCCCAGAGTGGATTTGGGGTCATATTTGGGGTCCCAGAGTAGGTTTTGGGGGGGTTTGGGGTTCCCAGGGGCAGTTCTTGGGGGGGGGGAGCTCTCTCCCCCAACCCAAACGTTTCCAGAGGCGACAAAAAGGGTGGAAAGAAGAAGAACCACCCCCCATCCCCCAAAAAAACCCCCACCTGTCCCCCCCGGCGGGGGTCCCAGCCCGCCACGATGATGCCGGCGCTGAGCTCCTCGCGGTAGCGGTAGCAGCTCTGCTGGAAGAGGCGGGCGGCCGTTCGCACCCGCGGCGGCTCCTCCAGCTCCACACTGAGAAAAAAAAACCCCAAAAAAAAATCTCCTGAAATGTTGAAAAGGTTAATAAAATATTTTTCCTTTACCCCCCTCCCTGTGTGAGTTATAATAATTTACCAAAAGCTGTGTTTTATTTAATTTACTGTGAGCTACGTTTCGTCCCGTGCTGGGCGTCGTCAAACCTTAAAGAAACCCCCACAAACACCGGACAAAGAACCCCCCAACCCCCATAAATCTCAACCCCAGAGGAGCCCCCGAGGTGACACCTCAAGGGGTAAAACAAACCCAAAGCCAAAGGGGTTTCTTTGAGGGCCAGAGAGATCAGAACACAAAGAATAAAACAAAAGTACAAAAGGTCCCCCCGAGGCGAAGCGAGGATGAGGATGGGAAAAGCAGCCCCTCCCCCCCCGAGATGAAGGCAAACAGAAACTTCCCCACTGAAGCTGAATTTTTGCCTCCCAAAAAAAGGCAGAGAGAGAGAGAGGGGCTGCTTTAGGGATAAAAGATTTGTTTTCCTTAAAGCAGGGAGGTATTTTAATGCGGGAGAGTTCCCGGGTCGCCCTGGCCGAAGAGCTCTTGTCGTGTACAATCAGCACGGCTCTTCATAATTATAGAGTCTTGACCATAAAATTACATCATAAACCATGCATATTCATTAAATTGCAACGTCTACTTGTAAATATTCATATCTTCGATTTGGGGGAGGTTTGGGGGGGGGGGAGTTCCCGCAGCCTTCGTCGCGGGCAGGGGTCGGTCGCTCTTCTTCCTCGTGGTAAACTTTGGAATTTTTCCCTCAAATCTATCCCTAATTTGGATAGTTGGGGACTGTAGTAGGATCAGGTTGACTTTTGGCTCGGCCCTAAGATTGGCTGATGCCGCTATCTCTTCGTTTTACGCTTTAAACGTTCTATCTCGTTCCTCAGACAATTTATTACTTTTGTGGTTTCCTAATTGCGAGGGGTTTTGGAATTACTTCCCCCATTTTGGGTTTGAGTTAACCTCTTGTTTCTCAAAGGCTGCCTCGACTGAGGGGGCTTTCACCGCCGAAATATTCCTCAAAATGGAGGCCACGCCTCCCTCTCCGCCCCTGACTCCGCCTGTTGTGAATATTGTAATCTAATTATGCAATAATATGAATATGGATGTGGTTATGATGTAATAATGTGAATATGCATGTGGTTATGATGAATATGGATGGGGTTATGATGCAATAATGTGAATATGGATGTGGTTATGATGTAATAATGTGAATATGTACATGGTTATGATGAATATGGATGTGGTTATGATGAATATGGATGGGGTTATCATGTAATAATATGAATATGTACGTGGTTATGATGAATATGTATGTGGTTATGATGTAATAATGTGAATATGGATGTGGTTATGATGAATATGGATGTGGTTATGATGTAATCATCGCCAAACCCGTATAAAAACACCCACTCTAACCCAACCAGCTCAAGGGGCTGTTTTCCCACGTCCATCCATAAACACCTCGCCGGTTTTCAGGCAGAAAACTCTCGCCTAAACACAGTTTTATCTGCTTTTTTTGTTTGTTTTGGGGGTGGGTTTACCTGTGGAAGGCCAGCTGGTAGGCCACGGCGTCGGCCACGGCCTGCGTGTCGGCGGCCGAGCCCGAGCGGCAGCAGAAGATGCGCTCGTGGACCGGCGTCAGCTTGTCCGTCACGCGGTTGGCCACGTAGGACCTGGGGTGGGTTGAGGGGGTCAGAATGATCCCAAGAGGGTCTTTCAGGGGGGTCAGGACACCCTCCCAGGGAAGGCACCCCCAAAAAACGCTGCTGGGAGTTTCCCATCCCATCCCATCCCACCCCACCCCGCAGAGCTGTCGCCGCTTCGAGGCCCCGAAGAGTTGGAGGCGAAAAACGCTCTGAAGGTTTTGCCAAAATAAAAATAAAGGGTTAAAAATAAAAAAAAAAAAAACGTGCTGATAAGGTGGTTTTTAGCACTGCTGGTGGTGGGAGATGGATCTGTGGGATTTGCAAACTCTCCCCACCCTCGAAAGGAGGGGAAAAGGATTCAGTTGAAAATAGAGAGGGAAAGGAAAAATTAAGGGTGAGCCCAAAAAAGGGGCGAAAAAAAAAGGAGCTCTGAAGGTTTTGCCGAAAAAGAGGAGGGTTAAAAATAAAAAAAACCGTGCTGATAAGATGCTAATAAAGAGGAGGAGAAGGAGGTGGAGGAGGAAGAGAAGGAGGAAGAGGAGGAGGAGGAAGAGGAGGAGGAGGAAGAGGAAGAGGAGGAGGAGGAAGAGGAGGAGGAGGAGGAGGAAGAGGAGGAGGAGGAGGAGGAGGAGGAGGAAGAGGAAGAGGAGGAAGAGGAAGAGGAGGAGGAAGAGGAGGAGGAGGAGGTGGAGGAGGAGGTGGAGGAGGAAGAGAAGGAGGAAGAGGAGGGGGAAGAGGAGGAGGAGGAGCAGGAAAAAGAAGAGGAAGAGGAAGTGAAGGAAGAGGAAGAGGAGGAGAAGGAGGAAGAGGAAGAGGAGGAGGAAGAGGAGGAGGAAGAGGAGCAGGAAGAGGAAGAGGAGGTGAAGGAAGAGGAAGAGGAGGTGGAGGAGGAAGAGAAGGAGGAAGAGGAGGAGGAAGAGGAGGAGGAGGAGAAGGAGGAAGAGGAAATCCTTCAGAACTGGGGGATTTAAACGCGGGATTTAAAATCCGATTTTTTTTTTCCCCCCGAAAAAAATTAGGCAAACAGTTCCTTGGGATCTTTCAACCTGACGGGGGGAGGTGTTTGGGGTTTTTTTTTGTAGTTTTTTTTTTTCAGGAATTGCGGCCAAAAAAAAAAAAAAACCCAAAGGATTTTTTTTGGAGGAACTTTGGGGCTCCCCTCGGGGGTTTTGGGGGTGGCACCATGGTGACATCGCGGTGACGTCATAACAAGGTGACAGCCCCTTTGACAGGGCCCTGGGGCCCCCCCGTGTGACGTCGCTGGTGACGTCACCAATGATGTCATCGATGACGTCATATAGCCCCTCACCCGGTGGTGGTTCGGGAATCGGCCCCGATGACGACGCCCCCGTCGAACTCCACGGCCATGATGGTGGTCTGGGGGAGGGGGGGGGGGGAAAG